TGCTTATATATATATATATATATATATATATATATATATATATATATATATATATATATATACACAAAATTATTTATTTTGTAATTAGTGGGTGTGGCTTATATATGAGTGCACTCAATAGTCCAGAAATTACAGTAATCTGTGGATTTACAGCTTCAGATGATTAACTTTTGGCTTCGACCCGATTCAAGATGACCACCACAGCGTATTGATCTTAAACTCAGTCAATTTACAGAATCGAGCTAAAACTGGTGTGGTAGTAGCTGAGAGTCATCCTCATGGATAAAAGCGGGACAAATAAAACATTTGAATTTTTTACACCTAGAACCATCAAGACCAACATCATTCTGAAGGAAGAGACCAGTCTGGAACAACTTTTCTGTAGTTTACTTTTAGAGGTTGTCCGATATATTTGTATTGAATTACAGCACAAAAAGTCCTTTAAAGAGTATAAATTAAATTGTTTTTAATAGACTGATTTCTCCCCTAAAATTATTTAATTCCACATGATTATTTTTACAGGACTCATGTAGTCATTTAATGTTGTTTATTTGTGATATCAGATAATTTATTAAATTTATTTATTGAGTACAGTTATCTCTCAGTTTGATTCTAAATAGAGTTTAGTTCAGCCAAGCAGCCAAAACATCTGGTTGTTACTAAAACAACCAGATGTGTAGCAGATACTGAAGACAAACACCTGAAGCTGACTCTGAGAACTTGGTGAGTTCTGAGGAAAAATTTAAGTTGAACAGAGACACCCATCTCTGCTACAGTCTGGGGAATATAATTATTCATCTCTTAGCGTTCAGATCGTTTATTAGAACTAAAGCAGCAGCTGAGCGCGCTCCCACAGCAGCCCTCTCAGACCAGTTGGGGGTGATGGTGTAGGAGTTCTGGTATCTCCCCCGGCTGCAGTGAGATGGTCACGTGCAAACCCATACGTTTCATAATTGACCACCTTCAGTTAGGAAACACTGATTGGTGCTGTCACCTGCAGTCCGTCTCTCTGGACTCATCGTGTATCAGACAGCGTGACCCGCGCCGCTCTGACTGGGTCAAACTGTGGTTCTGGTTCATCACTTTAATCTCTGAACCGTCATTAGATCAGATGGCTTTAAACAGAACTTTAACCCGTCCTGCCCAGACAAATTTTAAGACCTTTTGCGTAACATATTTAAGACCAACATACACATTTTTAATAAATTTTAGACGGTTCGACTTCTACGAGACTATGACGAGACTATGAGCTGCAAAGAAACGATCACTGATCATTTCTGACAGGTGTGTGTTCAACTTGTTTTTATGAAGAAAATGATAGATCTTGACCCAGGAGTCCTCACTGATGTTCACATTTACTCAGTTCTGCGATCAGAGCCTGATCCCAAGTGACAGCTAAGATGTTTCCAGACGGCTGGACTGAAGTGAAAAGCTGCAGACAGACAGGATGTCATTCAGGACGAGCGTTTAATCAGTCTCTCAAGTCCAGGTTCTTTGATTAGAAGGCCCAGGACAACAATCTATTCTCGTGATGTTACTTTGTCTTTTGTATGTTCGCTGTGAATCATCTTGTCTGGATTTTCTGCATTTTTTATGTTTTTGACATGAGGTGCTCAATCTGTCTCCGTTTTGTGCTCCAGTCCTTTGACTGTCCTGGAACTCTTGGCAGGGAGACAACTTTATTTTAGTTTGATGCATTTCCATTTTCATTCTGACCCAGATCTTGTGGGTGGAGCCTGGTGTCTGTGATAGGTGGCGTTTCTGATGTTTCTCCTGCCATGTCTCGAGTGGGTTGGACGATCGACCTTTCTTTGGATGAGCTGTGTATGTTGTGCAGATTGTTTGCTCTGCTCAGCTGAAGTGTCAAGAGGAGGGGTGAACAGCAGCAGTTTCAACACAAGCACTTTGATCAAACACCTGAGGACCAAACACGAGGCGCAGTTCAAAGAGTTTGCTGCTGCTCATCACAACCAGCGCTGCAGCAAGTTCTCCAGAAACGGGAAGAAATGGCTCCAGGTAAAAACTGAAGCTCTTAATTCATCGAGCGACGTGCTTTGGATGTCAAGGAATGTGTCAGTGAGAACACATTTTGCTGCTGGGGTGTCTGGACGTTAGGAGCATTAGGTTTTGTCAGTTTCATGACGGACTCTCTGCAACCTGGGCCTGAGCAAAATACTGCCTTTGGTTGAACCTCCACGTTTTCTGACGGCGAGGATCTCGTGGGACACATTCCTTGATTTCTTCCTCTGCCCTGGTTCCCCAGGACCAGCTAGGTTTACAGAGCTCCCATACACCAGTGAGCACACCCTATCTAGTTTTAATCAGACAAAAAAACAACCATATTATAACGCCAACAATTTTTTTATAAAGCCCTAAGTGTTTCAGCTGCGCCACTTCCGAGTCTTGAAAAATGTGCTCTCCCTATGATGGAGAGCCATTTTGAGTCCAGGCTCAGAAAGTCTGTTAAATGGAGCCTTTCATTTTGGAACCCTGGGGTACAACAAAAGATTTCTCAAAAGACCAAAATCCATTAGATTATGATCACATGTACTTTTTAAATCCCCATTTCTATGTGATTTATAAATCAAATGGTTTTCAGCACATTGTATTTACAGTATAAACTAGGACTTTGAGATCTGTTGTGAATGTAAAGTGCGTTATAAATAAAAGTTATTATTATTTATAAACTAGATAAGATTACTGCAGCAACTCTTCTGGTTGTTGGCGACAGATCCACATTAGCAGCAAGTGCTCAGTGATCAAATAACAGGATTTGTTTACAAAGTTTTCTTTACCCTTTCACTTTAGCCTCTTGTACAAAAGGCTGCATCAGCCCAAATGTTGCCCCACCCAACCCAAGAGGGTTTTGACTTACTGCGCAGAACTCTTCAAAAGATATCCTGCCATCTCCGTCCTTGTCTGCATTTATAATGGTCTTGTCCACAATCTGCTGGAGCTGCGTGTCCTTCAAGTTGTTGCCTACCATCATCTTCAGTACTTGGAAAAGCTCGCCATTGGAGATGTAGCCATCCTTGTCCATGTCGTAGATCCTGAATGCGACTGTGGTTCAGTGTGGAACATAAGAGCAGGAGGAAACAGAAAAAGGAAAACTCATGTTCAGGTGCGCTGCAGCTGAGCATCAAACGTTACATGTCGACCAGTCTGATGGTCTTTAACAGTAAGGTTCTGGAAACGATGTTCAAAAGACAGTTATTCACAACCTATATCAAACCAAAAAACACATTTCAGTGTTTCCCTTACCATAATCCAAGGAAGGCGCCCCGTCCTGTCAACACAACCAAGTGCCCCGCCTACCAACTCCCCCACCCCCACTCTGCTCTGCCACTTCTGGATGGGGAGCGGAAATTGAAGCAGCTCAGCTCAGATTCCAAACTGTGCACAATACAAACGTAGCACTCCACTATCTCTCTCTACCCCCCCACCCCCCACTCCCCCACAACCGTCAACAACTGCAACGTAGCCCTAAGCCCCCGTTGACAAAACCCCAGAAGAGACGAGCGTCCTCCCAAGGCCAGTAACTTAGTAACCACTGAATTTCCAGTGTTTCCTCTACCGTTATCTAAGGAGGGCGCCCCGCCCTGTCAACACGACTGAGCGCCCTGCCTTCCAAAATGTCTTTCCACCCACATCTCAAACTCCCCCCCTCTGCAACTGCCAGCACTGACATAGCACTACGCTAGCGCCGCACAATACAGACACGCTAGCTAGAACGCCCCGCTTCTCCCATGCATCCCCCCGGCACTAATGTTCGCTAAGGTAGTGTGCATCTCCGTCTCCGAGACAGGTTTGTGTTGAGGCACTAATCTGGGGAGGGATACAGAAAAATTCTGATGCTTTAAAGGTCCCAGTGAGCTCCATGGTCACGATCATTCATAAATGAAAGAAGTTTGGAACCACTAGGACTCTTCAGAGCTAGCCATCTGTCTAAACTGAGCAATCGGGGGAGAAGGGCCTTAATCAGGGAGGTGACCAAGAACCTGATGGTCACTCTTGTCAGAGCTCAAGCGTTCCTCTGTGGAGAAAGGAGAACCTTCCAGAAGGACAAACCACCTCTGCAGCAATCCACCAATCAGGCTGTATGGTAGAGTGGCCAGACAAAAGCGACTCCTTAATAAAAGGAACATGGCAGCCCATCTGGAGTTTACCAAAAAGCAGCTGAAGGACTTTCAGACCATGAGAAATAAAATTCTCTGGTCTGATGAGCCAAAGATTGAACTCTTTGGTGTGAATGCCAGGTGTCATGTTTGGAGGAAACCAGGCACCGCTCATCACCACCAGAACAACAGCATCCCTACAGTGAAGCATGGTGGTGGCAGCATCATGCTATGGGGATGTTCTTCAGCAGCAAGAACTGGCAGACAAGTCAGGATAGAGGGAAAGATGAATGCAGCAATGTAGAGACATCCTGGATGAGCACTCTTGACCTCAGACGATGGTTCATTTTTCATCAGAATGACCCAAAGCACATGGCCAATATCTCAAAGGACTGGCTTCAGGACCACTCTGTGAATGCTCTGGAGGGGCTTCAGGACCACTCTGTGAATGCTCTGGAGGGGCTTCAGGACCACTCTGCGAAGGTCCTGGAGGAGCCAAGCCAGAGTCCAGACTTGAATCTGACTGAACATCTCTGGAGAAATCTGAAAATGGCTGCACAGACGTCTCCCATCCAACCTGATGGAACTTGAGAAGTATTGCACAGAAGAATGGGACAAACTGCCTAAAGAAAGTATCCTGATGCATGCTCAATAATCCAGGTATAAAAATCTAAAAAAGTTAAGTCTGGTCCTCTGAATGGGTTCAAAAAACAAAAAATTGTAGAAACGTTTCGTCTTTCATCCGAAAGACTTCTTCAGCCTAAAGACAGGTGTGCTCAGCTTGAAGCATCATATTCAAAAAGACTGGAGGCTGTGATCGCTGCCAACGGTGGATCAACAAAGGCTGTGAATAATTACATAAATGTGATTTCTTATTTCACATTTTTAATAAATTTGCAAAAATCTAAATCTTTTTTCACATTACCATCATGGGGTATTGTGTGTAGAATTTTAAGGAAAGATTAATTTAATATATTTGGAATAACGCTGTAACATAAAAAGTGAAGCGCAGTGAATACTTTCTGGATGCACTGTAATCATCATATGAAGCCCCTCAAGTGCATGTCAGAATAAACGGCACAAACATCACAAACTCTGAATATTTTGTCTTCATTGTTCTACAAGGTAGGTGTATACCCATGAAGTCCTCTTATTTACAGCTGTAACCGGGTCTCTAGTCATTGATTTACAGCCTTGTTTTGATATAACTGCTATAAACAAGGTGGAGTTGAAAGCGACTCTGTATTAGGGATGCACGATATTATCGGCATGGTATCAGCCGATATTAGCGTTAAAGTTCAATTTCGGATATCGGCAATTCCAATAAAATAACTCACAGATATAAAAGGCCATTTTTGCCTGCAGCGACAGCACAACGTGACGACGTTAGAGCGGCAGCGCAACGCGATGACATTACGTGCGCCTACCCGATCTCACGGCGCAGAAGAAAATTCAAAATGTCGGCAGTGTGGAAGTTTTATTTTTCATTGGTGAGGATGTTGGATTCCGAAGATTTATGGATTATGTTGAGCCTCGCTACATCGTCCACAGTCTAAGATATTTTTCCAACGCAACGTTACCCGAGTTACAAGCCGTCATTTCCGACATCATTGAGAAGCTAATAGCGGATAGCACGACTTATTGGGTGAGTTTTACCACAGACATTTGGACATCGTGTTATCCTCGTTAGCATGATCAGCTTACGGCTCAATGGACAGACAAAAACTTTTAATTTGAAAAGGCTGTCCTTCATGCACAAGAGTGCAGAGGATCCCACACTGCAGCCTCCACAAGTGAGACAGCATCACAGGTGACTAATGCTAATAAATAACATTTAACACTTTTCATTTAATATAAATTAAAGTGCTATGCAAATTATATGTCTGTTACTGAATATATGTTACCAGCTCTTACAGCTGTTGCACATTTTTTGTAGCAAATAAGCCTAAATAAGAGGGCTATGTTCTGACAAAGAAACGTATATAAAACATCGGTATCGGCATCGGTTATTGGCCAAATAAGTTTTAACATATTGGCCAAAAATCCAATATCGTGCATCCCTACTCTGTATGCTGATGACCTCCTGTTACTCCCTTCTGACCTGTCATGACTATCCTCTTTGCCCTTTCAACTCAAAATGCATTTGCTAAAATTTCTGGATATAACCTTAATCTTGGCAAAAGTAAGATATTTGCTGATCACATAGATGCAAAAGAATATCTGCTTGATAATCTACCATTCAAGATACCCAACTCTGGTTTTGTCTTTCTTGGAATGCATATAACTGATCATGTGGGCAATCTTAGGAAAGTTTTCTCTCTCTTAGCTTACCAAAAAATAAAAAAAAATTGAGGATATGTCCCTCTTAAATCTTTCTGTAGTGGCTAAAACTGATGCCCTTACAATGAACATCTTCCCTCACATCACATATGTTTCAGTGTAAACATAGGTTACATCATCAAGTCTTACAAAGGCACTAAGCTCTGGGGGGACTGCCACTCCAGAACCTCTCGTACTACTACAGGTCAACTAATATAAAATATCTGAATTATTGGGTTCATTATGAAAATGGTTCTGAGATAATTTACTAAAACCACTTTTAGTAAATTCTGCTCCACTGTGGGAACAGAGCATAGGTAGGGGTCTTGTAACCCAAATATAAAGAAGCAGCTTTACTCACATCGCAGCTTTTGTTCTTTGTCCCCTTTGACACTAAACTGTGAGACTCCTTCAATAAACTCTGTAAGAAAAAAAGAAAACATGCTTTACATAAAAACAAAAGCATACATTAACAAATTTAATTCAAGATTCAAGAACTACTAATTTATAGTTAACTAGAGTAAATCATCGTAGGAGCGGTTGCCCAAGTGGGTACAAAGCAGGATGAGGTGGGTTTAATGTGGGCAACAAAATAAATGTGGCCTAAAATGTGTTTTTCAAGCTGTGCAGGTGAAAATAAACCGATTTAAAATTTGACCTCGTAAAATGTGGCACCATGACTGAAAATTTAAATCTTGTGTATTTTCTTGCTCTGTTTAGTAAGTCTGAATGTCACAGCGCAGTGAAATAACACATTTATTCTGATAGAATAACCCCATAAAATGAGCCCCGACTGATTTTGCGCTGTAGGTTAGGTTTTTTTGTAGCGTGTATAAATATTGATGTTTTCATTAACACCCATTAAATCGAAAACATTCTTATGATGTAATGCATTCGTAACAAACACAACAAAAACTTTGCTGCCAAGTAAAAAGTTCAAGGAATAGTCCATTAAATGTTGAAGTTAAGTTCTAATAGTTACCAGTAGTTAGTATATTATCAGCAATGGCATCAGCCATAGAAAACTAATTATGGAGAAAGAGACAAGCTGGCCAAATGAGTGCTAGGTTTTAATAGATGCTCAGACTTATAAAAACAACTCTGACAAACTAATGGCCTTGAAAGAACGCTACATTAGATAAAATGAAACCACTACGCATTTGTCACTAGAACCTGATTTATATTTGGACAGTTTGTCCTGTTGAGCTCTCTGAATTGTCAAACATAAGAACTTCATCCAATCATCAACATTTCTGCTAGATCCCATCCCAACCAGACTGTTTAAAGAGGTATTTCCCCTAATTAATAAAACACGTTTTAGATCCGTTTAACTTGTCGTTAATGAATTGTTACGTACCACAGCGTTTTTAAGGTTGCTGTAATTAAACCTTTACTTAAGAAACCTGATCTTGATCCAGGAATTCAGGCCAATTATAGACCTAGATCTTAAATGATTTTATTTTTTAAATCAAGAGGACTATGTTCTGACAAAGGAATGCTGCTAATCAATTGAGTGACCACCACAGCACTTAATCTGCACTGGTGAAAGTTACTAATGATCTTCTCATGGCCTCTGACAATGGACAGGTGACTACACTGGTCCTGTTAGACCTCAGGGCTGCATTTGATACAGATGATCATAATATTCTATTACCGAGACTTGAATATGATATTGGGATTATAGGAACAGCTCTAAATTGGTTTAAATCATATTTATTTATCCGATATATTCTAGTTTTTAAATGTAAATAAAGGATCTTCTTCATACATCAAAGTTAGTCATGGAGTTCCTCAGGGTTCAGTGCTCTTTATGAAAGCTTCCATTAGGTAAAGTTATTAAACAGCATGGGATAAATTTTCATTGTTATGCTGATGATAGTTATATTTGTCCATGAAATCCAATGAATCCAATCAGTTACTTACTACAATCATGTCTTAAAGACATAAAAACCTAGATGACTCTGAATTTTGTGCTTTTAAACTCAGAGGTTTTAGTTTTTGGACCCGATAATCTTAGGAATAAACTTTGTAGCCTGTCACTTCCTATGGATGGCATTAATTTGGCCTCCAGTTCTAATGTAAAAAAAAAAAAAACGTTATTTTTGACGAGAATATGTCTTTTAACCCCCACATTAAAAAGAGTTACCAGGGATGCTTCCCTCCACCTGTGTAATATCACTGAAATTAGAAACATCTTGTCCAAAAATGATGCAGAAAAACTGGTTCATGTATTTGTCACGTCTAGACTGGACTATTGCTATGGTTTGTTATCTGGGTGTCCAAATACTTTTTTTTTTTTTAATGTCTTCAGTTGATCCAAAATGCTGCTGCCAGAGTTTTAACGAGAGTCAGTAAGAGATCATATCTCTCCAGTTTTAGCTTCTCTTCACTGGCTCCCTGTCAAATTCAGAAAATAATTCAAAATTTTACTTCTAACCTACAAAGCTCTCAACAACCTAGCTCCACCTTATATTACAGATTTTATTGTTCTACATTTCCTTAACTGAGAATTTCACTCTCAGACTGCATATTTACTTGTGGTTCCTAGAGTTTCCATAAGTAAAATGATAGGAAGATCTTTCAGTTATCAGGCTCCTCTCTTGTGGAACCAACTTCCAGTTTCTGTCCGTGAGGCTGACACATTGTCCACTTAAGACTAGGCTTAAGACTCTCCATTTTGATAATTCCCATAGTTAGGGTTGGCTTGGGTTTCCTGAACTTTCCCTTAGTTATTCTGCTATAGACTTACACTGCTGGAGGAGAAATTGACCACATTTCCTCACTCTGCTACTGTCTACCTGCTCTACTCTACCCATTTGTAAATATATGCATTTATATCCTTAACATGTTTTTTGTCTTTCCTCCTATAGAAACTACACCTGGACCTGTCATTCTGTGTTTGTCTCTCCTTCCTGTCCTCTCACACCCAGCCAGTCAAAGCAGATGGCCGCTCGTCCTGAGCCTGGTTCTGCTGGAGGTTTCTTCAAGTTAAAAGGATGTTTTTTTTCCTTTCCACTGTCTCCATTGTGCTTGCTCAGGATGAGAGACTGAGACGAAGATTCAACACAATCTGCTGCTTCCTTAGATACATACTTTTACTAATTGGCTTTTTTAGTGTATGTGAATGTTTCTTTTCAGTGCCCTGAGAGGACTTTTATTGGGACTTGGAGCTATAGAAATAAACTGAATTGAACTGAATTGGCATGTCATCGTTTTGTCAACCGAACAGTGTTTGTGTTATTACATGTAGGTACGTGTGTGAAATGTGGACCGTTTATGCCGATGGTGCTGAGGCTGCTGAGTCAGACCATCAGGAGTTGTGAACTTTTGGGATGAGTAGTCGTGTTGATCAGGTGGACTCGGACAGTCACAACATCTCAGCATGTCAGCATATAAACATTCAAACTTAATTTCACAAGGAGCCAAAACTAAAATCCTGATAAAGAGCCAAATCATTTTTTTTAACAATCATCTATTTTGAAAAAAGGAAAAAATACATTTGCTGTGTTTTTTAGAAACCTCATGTCAAAATATTCATATAGAAATATGAACTTTTTTATACAGTCTTCTCAATAACTGAGTAGGAGGCTTGAGTAATTTCCCAACATCAACACAGATGTTTTGTGCAGCAAAAAGACCGTTTAAACTCTGATCACTGATGAAAATGTCTCACCAGCATCACAGGCATGAAATGAGTTATGAAGTTATAATCAGCAGCAGCTGTCAATTAATTTTGCAGAGTGAGATAATGTACAAGAATGTAATAATTATTTTACAATGAATTTATCTTTATTCTTTATTCCCAGCTGAATGAATGTAGCTCAAAAACTTCACTTTGTTTTCTGTAACTACAAAGATCGTAAAATCTGATCCACATCAGAAGCATCATATTGTGAACATACAGTGAGGAAAATAAGTATTAGAACACCCTGCGACTTTGCAAGTTCTCCCACTTAGAAATCATGGAGGGGTCTGAAATTTTCATCTTAGGTGCATGTCCACCGTGAGAGACATAATCTAAAAAAAAATCTGGAAAACACAATGTAAGATTTTTGAAATAATTTATTTGTGCGTTACTGCTGCAAATAAGTATTTGAACATCTGCCAATCAGCAACAGTTCTGGCCCTCAAAGACCTGTTAGTCCTCCTCTATAATGTCCACCTCCACTCCACTTATTATTCTAAATTAGAAGCACCTGTTTGAGGTCGTTCGCTGCATAAAGACACCTGTCCACCCCACACAATCAGTAAGACTCCAACTACTAACATGGCTAAGACCAAAGAGCTGTCCAAATACACCAGAGACAAAATTGTAGACCTCCACAAGGCTGGAAAGGGCTACGGGGCAATTGCCAAGCAGCTTGGTGAAAAAAGATCAACTGTTGGAGCAATTATTAAAAAATGGAAGAAGCTAAACATGACTGTCAATCTCCCTCGGACTGGGGCTCCATGCAAGATCTCACCTCGTGGTGTATCAATGATCCTAAGAAAGGTGAGGAATCAGTCCAGAACTACATGGGAGGAGCTGCTCAATGACCTGGAGAGAGCTGGCACCACCGTTTCCAAGGTTACTGTGGGTAATACACTAAGATGTCATAGTTTAAAATCACGCATGGCACAGAAGGTTCCCCTGCTTAAATCAGCACACGTCCAGGCCTGTCTTAAGTTTGCCCATGGCCATTTGGATGATCCAGAGGAGTCATGGGAGAAAGTTATGTGGTCAGATGAGACCAAAATAAAACTTTTTGGTCTTAATTCTACTCGCCATGTTTGGAGGACGAAGAATGATGAGTACTATACCAAATACATCATCCCTACTGTGAAGCATGGGGGTGGAAGCATCATGCTTTGGGGGTGTTTTTCTGCACAAGAGACAGGACGACTGCACTGTATTAAGGAGAGGATGACCGGGGCCATGTGTTGAGAGATTTTGGGGAACAACCTCCTTCCCTCAGTGAGAGCATTGAAGATGGGTCGTGGCTGGGTCTTCCAACATGACAATGACCCAAAGCACACAGCCAGGAGAACCAAGGAGTGGCTCCGTAAGAAGCATATCAAGGGTCTGGAGTGGCCTAGCCAGTCTCCAGACCTAAACCCTATAGAAAATATTTGGAGGAAGCTCAAACTCCATGTTTCTCAGAGACAGCCCAGAAATCTGGTTGATCTAGTGAAGATCTGTGTGGAGGAATGGTCCAGAATCTCTGCTGCAGACCTGCTGAAACACTACAGGAAACGTCCAGAGGAATGAATGTCCAGAGGACCAGATTGAACTTTTTTGGATTTTTCTACCTGGATTATTGAGCATGCATCAGGAGACTACAGGAAACCTTTGACCTCTGTAACTGCAAACAAAGATACTGTACCAAATATTAACATTGATTTTCACAGGTGTTCAAATACTTATTTGCAGCAGTAACGCACAAATAAATTATTTTTAAAAACTTACATTGTTATTTCCAGATTGTTTTTTTTAGATTATGTCTCTCACAGTGGACATGCACCTAAGATGGAAATATCAGACCCCTCCATGATTTCTAAGTGGGAGAACTTGCAAAGTTGCAGGGTGTTCAAATACTTATTATCCTCACTGTATGAAGAAGACGGTTTTAACTCTAACTTTATGAATATCCATGTTCCTCAGGGGGAAAACCTTATTTAACTGCTTTAAAATATTAGTTTTATCGTGTAGTCCTGGTTCCTGACCAGTTGTCTGAACTGCTGCAACATAAACCAAGTGTGGAGGACATCTTCAGTGCTGATTCAAACTCATTCTGATCGTAACTTGATTTTGCTTCATGTCAACTTGTCATGTTTTAGTATCACAACACCTCTACTGTGAAGCTGAACATGCGTAAATGAAAACTGTAATGAAATTTAGTTGAAGTCAACATGTCCTGTAACACCTGAAGTTTAAAAACAACTCATTTAAGTTCAGCACCAGAATAAAGTACTGGACATTCAACAAAGTAGCAGAATTTACTTCATACCTTTGAAGTCCACCTCTCCATTTCCATCCGTGTCGAATATGTCGATAACCCTCTGCACCAACGGGTTCTGTTGCAGCTCGGGCAGAGACATGAACTCCTCCACGCTGAGTGAGCCGGAGTTATCTAGGTCGAGTTTCTTAAACCTCTTCCCTAGCCTCTTAATCTCATCAGCATCGACTGAACAAAGACAAAGAGAGAAGAAGTTCCTCTGAATTAGATACTTTGTGGGTTTGAGCTGTAAAAAATAAAAATGCAATGTGTTAAATTAAATTGCCCTCAACAGTCATTGACCTGTATACATCCAACAGAAAGAATTAAAGTGAATAACCTCAGCAGGCCCCTGTGAGGCTCTGTATTCAAATCTACGTCATCAGGTGTGAACCTACAACATGTTAGCAACATTATGCAAACAGGAATTAAAAATTAAAAAAAAAAGTTTTGGCAAGTATAATTACAACTGGCCACACATTTTAAAAGCCACCATTTGCAAACAGGTTATGGACCATGTTTTTGACTTCAACAAGATCTAAAAAAAAAAAAAAAAAGACCAAATATTAAATTAATAACACCCATTTATTGGACTGCAAAAATGACAGGTAACCAAATCTGAGACATCTGATAATACTGATACGAACTCAAATTAAAGAACACGTCAAATTCAATTAGTTTTAAGCAGAAAACGAGCCACAGAGGACGTAATGAGCAGCTAAACTTACAGCATTTGTTGTCTGCTGTACCAGATGGTGTTTGGTTGTTGTGTCCTCCTGCCATCAGTAAAAGACTCACCTCTCAGACCGGTATGCTCACAATAGCAGGGAATAATCCAGAGGCAATAATAAACTCAGTTGTTAATTGCTATATAAGCTCATTTACACGCAGTCACGTGGTTCCCCTGACCAACCACAAACTCTTACTTTACAGGCTTTAATCTGGGCTCCTAATAACAGGCCAATAATCTTCATACACTAAAAAAAGGCAGGCACAATAAATTTATGAGGCTGGAAATTCAGTTCATTCTGGTTCCAATTGGGTTTATTGACCTCCATAAGAACACCAAGACCAGCTGCCTGACATGTTCTGATGAGACTGACTAACTGGTGTGAACAACCACCATAAAGATGAGAATTTAATAAAAGCCTTTAAGTGGTGGCAACCAGAAAGTCACGTTAGAGTTTTACAAGCTGATTTCATGCAAGAACAAGTGACGGATTCAACACAAACAGTATGTTTCCATTAGAGCCTGATGGATATGGAATCACCAATGCAGATATTGGTAGACTTAGGCTAATGCTGATAACCGATATACTGGCTGAACATTTGTAGCTTTGTCCACCTCCAACAATCTAAACAGCTACTTTTAAACCTGTTGTAAAACATTAAGTCTTGAAACAGTCTTCCTAACCTGTGTTCACATTTTCCATCCTACACTATTCATCATGAAGTTATCAAGTGTTTTACAAAAATATAAATTAAAGAAACGCCTTCCCTGTTCATTGTTTAAACAGTCAGCCATGTATGGTGAAGACAATTTATATTGACCGCAGACAAAGATAACGTTACTAACACTGATATAGATTTACCTACCCATTATTTACATAACACCCCAACATTTTTCAGTCAGGTCATCTGGACAGTTTCTTTTTTTGTGCTGAAATGTTTCACCTTCCATCCAGAAGGCGTCATCAGTCAAGGAAACACACAACAAAACTGATTCTTCCCCAAACAGCTTACTCCAAAGTGGAACGAACCAGTTCTGCTTGTGATAAGATGGTCTCTTTGGTACGCCCCTCCTCCATTGACGGCCCTCTTCCTTGTTGACAGTCTTGTCAAACTGGTTGAAAACAACAAAGTCCATGCTCAATAATCCAGGTATACAATCCAACATTTTTCAGTCAAGTGAGGGGCGTACCAAAGAGACCATCTTATCACAAGCAGAACTGGTTTGTTCCACTTTGGAGTAAGCTGTTGGGGGAAGAATCAGTTTCGTGTTGTGCGTTTCCTTGACTGATGAAGCCTTCTGGATCGAAGGAGAAATGTTTCAGCACAAAAAAAGAAACTGTCCAGATGACCTGACTGAAAAATGTTGGATTGTATCCCTGGATTATTGAGCATGGACTTTGTTATTTACATAACACTTTTCATTTTAAACCAAAATGTTCTATTTTGGTCTCATCCATCCACAAAACATTCTTCCAACAGTCTTCTGGTTTGTCCATGTGATCTTTCTCAAACTGCAGACAAGCAGCCATGTTCTTTATGAACAGCAGTGGTTTCCTCCTTCAGCCCTGCCATGACACCATTGTTGTTCAGAGTTCTCCTGATGGTGGACTCATGAACATCAGTCAATGTGAGAGAGACCTTCAGTTGTTAGAAGTTACCCTGGGGTCCTCTGTGACCTCACCAACTATTCCACACGTTGCTCTTGGAGTGATCTTTGTTGGTCCATCACTCCTGGGGAGGGTAACAATTCTCTTGAATTTCCTTCATTTGTCCGACTGTGGAGTCCAAACTCTTTATAGATGTTTTGTAACATTTTCCAGCCTGATGAGCATCAACAACTCTTTCTCTGAGCTCCTCAGAAATCTCCTTTGTTCCTGCCATGATGCACTTCAACAAACATGTTGTGAAGAGCAGACTTTGATAGATCCTGTTCTTTAAATCAAACAGGTGCTCACTCACACCTGATCATCATCACATTGATTGAAAACATCTGACTCTAATTTCACCTTCAAATTCACTGATAATCCAAGAGGTTCACGTACTTTTACCACTCACAGATATGTAATATTGGATCATTTTCCTCAATAAAAAATTACCAAGTATAATATTTTTGTCTCATTTGTTTAACTGGGTTCTCTTTATCTACTTTTAGGACTTGTGTGAAAATCTGATGATGTTTAGGTCATATTTATGCAGAAATATAGAAAATTCTGAAGAGTTCTCAAACTTTCAAGCATCCCTGTAGTAAGTGGCTTCAACCTAGCGTTAGTAAAGTAGCTCGCCACTAATTCTCTCTCACTTATTTTTCAAGTTTTAACAAGTTACAACGTGCACAAACAGATGGCATTTCCAATTCCCCCTCTTTGCTCCGACAGAAGACAACACCACCCCCACTTTACTGACACTACTCGAGTCTCCAGACAGAACCACACAGAAAATATTTTTGACAATGGTTCAAGGAGTGTTTGAGTTGTTGGCGGGCTCAAAATCATAACCTGGAATCTAGGTAAAAGATTGTTCCTGCTAATCTCATCAGTTTTTAATTCTGCAGCCTAAAGGAGCCAAGTAAAATTTGAAACCAAGACTTAAGTAGATTTTTTTGTAAAAAAAAAAAAAAAAAAAAAAAAAAATCCCCATCATCATTGGTTGCTTTATCCACATTTCAGTTTGCTTTAGAGAGTCTGTTAAATTTGGAAGTTTAAAAAAAAGTCACACTGATGTACAGTACTGTGCAAAGTTTTAAATTACTCTCAATTTCTTTTTTTCTTCAGCTGAGAAAGACTTATGTAGAAGTGTAGTGGTCTTGAAATTTCAACTTCAACTTCACGCTGTCAGGTCTTTTTAATTTTTTCTATGGACTTTTGCTTCTTTTTATAATGTTTATTTTGTTCAGCCCTTGTACGCCCACATATTGTGTAGAGTATGCTTAAAAATATAAGGTAGCCAAAAAGTGGAGGGCAAAAGAAGAAATGTCTGCTTTAAAATTGTAGTGGACTAGGCCTCCGACCAAAACCTGCCTCTGAAGACCTTCATGGGACAGGAACTGTTATTTCATTGATTTGAATCCAGAAATACAAATTAGCTCATCCAGAGACTGTCTAATTGTATTCTGAACTAATCAATTGAAAGAACACTCTCTTTTTATATTATCATCACTATTTTACAATATCTTGATAATCAGAAGTGTGTTTAGTTCATACCATTTCTAAATGTTGAAGTGAACTACTCATTTTAAATCAACTGTGAAACAGTATTAATGATTTTTAATCCTCATTTAAATTAGAAATCAAGTTAAATGTCTATTTTACAAAGTAATTATGCATTTTTTGATCTTCTGTCTGAAATGAGAAGGAGTGATAAGTCGGTCAAAAGTCGGAGACAGTCAAAAACAAGTTGTTAGAACGGGCTGTCGTGTTTTTAAAACTCTCAGACAGTAAATAAGAAAACTGGCACCTGCAGTGTTTCTCAGTTCGCCAAAACATTTCTCTGTCTGTTCCTAAAACATTCTTGCTGTTTTCTTGACTTGTAAAAACCCTTTGACATCACTAGAACCACACCCCGGTTGGTTGCTTCAACCAATCAGGACTTACTAAAAGTGACCGGAAGCAGAACTCTTTAAAAGTCGACACTTCCTGGAACTATTAGTCTGCTGAGTCTTCTGAGTCTTCTGGAGTAATGTCTTCTGAGTTTTCTGAGGTTCTGGGAGAGTTCTAGCTGTTCTGGAGTTCTGGAGATTTTCCACTGCTGAGTGGAACTTCGGACTCAGTTTTCCAGGCTGATGGAGTCATCCATCTCTGCAGGAGTCACAGCGCCTCACTGTGACTTCCCCCAGGCGAACGCCCTACAACTTCTGAGGAAGTTTGTTCTGTTGAACAGAGTATCTCACGACTTCTGCCGAGTCGTAGCCGCCCTGAGGAGACGCTGAAAGGTAGCGTGCCAGGGACCTCTTGAACGTAGCGGACCCATCCTCCGCCAAGGTAAAGAGTCATCACGAGTTTCACTACAAGTGTACCGTGGGCGAACTGCGCTTGAAAGGAGCGTGTTGTTCTGGTCCACAGACATACATCTTCCTCCACATCTTCCTTTAAACTCCTCCATATTTCCCATCTTTAAAACTCTTCTATCCTGCCAGTAATTAATCCAGATATCTTCAGAAATGTCTGTTGTTTTTATTAAGTAAAACGTGCCAAGTTTTATTAATCAGAACCAGATCAGTCTAATCAAGTGTACAATGTTTTGATGTTAAAATTTTGATTCTGTTAATAAATGACCACATTTATTTTGATGGGTCAAAGAAAATTAACGTCTCATGTCACTGATTAAACCATCTACGCACAGTACCTCTGTCACATATCTGTAAGTAGCTCGAAAAAGAGAGAATCGTTATTTTAAATATGACTGTAGTGAAGCTCTGAAGCTAACCTAGCCTTTAGAACAGTACAAAATAAACAATTTAC